ATCAAGCAGTGGAAGGTTGATTCAGATGGTCTACTATGCCAGGTAATTCTTCCTAAGATAAAAGAGATGTCAAACTTGTTCATTCTAACTAGGAATCAGGGTGCAATTTATAACATAGGGTACATGGCAAATATCATATAAGGAAATCAAGAACATTCGAGGTTATTTTGGAGTATTACGTAGTCTCCTGCCTGGATAGGCAATGTTGATACGATCGTTGAGGATCAATCTGATATATCAGGCGGGGTAAACATGATGATGTTTCATAGCAGTAAAGGTGCAGAAAAGGTGTATTGAAAAGAGGATACAAGATAGTGTTCCTCCGCGGTAAAATAGGGGAGATTGCTTAGTAAGCAGGCAGAATTCAAAATAGCAATCTGGGCCTAAGGCCCCACATATGCCGACAGATATAATCGATCGAATCAAGTAAAAGGCACGGCGGCTACTTTAGCTAAAACTCGCTAATTCGATTAAAGGGGAGTATTACCTAGGGGGAAAGAGGGAAATAGAGATTATAGCTAGTACCTCGAGTTAGGTAGAGGAGTAGCTCGATCGGGCCTATTTAGACCTCTCGATCGCGCTCCTCGATCACGAGCTATAGGGTAATATTTTTAAGAGTCCCGTAGTTAGGTTTATAGCCGCGCTTAGTATCGATACCCGAAATTAAACGTACCGTAACCCCGCTAGTTATACTAGTTATCTCTCCAGCCTCGTAAAGATCTCCTAGATACTAGTCGCGTAGCGAGTAGTTTAACTCGCCGAGGATTACTACATAAAGTACCCCGGCAACGCGCTAAATAAGATATAGGAACGGTTCCTAATATACGGGGTACGGGTACCCTTTAGATAGATAATCCGGCTACGGATATTTAGTAAGAGGATCTAGAATATATCTACTAGTCTCGGATACCTAATATAGAGTAACGACTACTAATCCCTCTACTACCGCGAGCTTTAGCTTAATATAGATAGACTTCGATAATTTATACATACGTAGGTCGAACTAGTATAGCATAAGCTTAAGAGGCTTTTCCTACTAGATAAAGACGAAAGCCGAGCCGATATCGTGCCCGAACTATAGCTATACTAGCTAACCGACGATCTAGTAAATAACTAGCGTAGTTAGAATTTTCTAAAGGATAAGCAGAACCGCGTAGTCCTTCCTACTAGTAGCGAGCGTTAGATATTAGATCGTGTATTAGCTAGCGAGTCCCTCCGGTAGGAATTTATCGAAGTTCGATAGGCCGACTCTTCCGTACGCTAGCGGGAGTTATATATAATAGTATACTAGTAATAGGTAGATTAATTCCTCGGACGACTTTTGGTCCTAATAGGTAGATAGCCTATACGCGTAACAGAGCTTATTTCTATTAGATATAGTAATACTACCGAGGGGCGATACTATAATCTCTACGTTAAGTATAGGCTCGCTAGTATTGTTACTAGCTACTATAAGTCCTAAAGCGTTTCGAACTCGATTAAAATTATCTACCGGTACCTACCGAGCGAGATTAGCAAGCTTATAGTATACTATCTATAGCTAATTTAGCTATTCACTAAGACGGCAAGTATATTCGCTCGTGGAAGCGAGCGTCGCGTTTAATTACCGTTTTTCTAGCCTCGCGATAAAGGCTACTAGGACGCTGCTCGGCTTAGCGCTCTCCTAAAGCAAGAGGGCAAAACGTACTTAAATTCTAAGCTAAATATACTATCCTAGCGCTATACTATAATTAGTATCTCGCGGATATATCTAAAATACAGTAGATTTAAGCATAACTACGGGGCCGATAATCTAGCTATTAATGAATAAGCCGCGTATAGATTATAGGTAGCTAGCACTGTTATGACATTTCCTACCATGAGGCTATTCACACTTTTCGGCCTTAGGATTCAGGCCACCCTGGGAGATCAGCCATGGAGATCAACTATGGCGCACCACTTCGGTGGCCTATCCCTGCCCTCTCACCGCTGTTTCCACGGAGGAGAGTCATCCGCCGATGCGCATACAGCTCATGCAAGCCAACGTGGTTACCCCTCTCGTGGTAGGGTTTACTGTATATAAGAGCAGTGGGGGGACAGGAAAGAAGGCCCCCCAAGAAACAGTCTCTGTTACAATTTGACATAGTGCTTTGCTCTCCTACCTAGTTGACAGGCTTTCTACCCTGCAAGTAGACCCTATCTTTACAAGCACCGTCTATATATATAGCATAAAAGAGGCGCCTAGTATTATTAAGTCAAAGCGAATACGATACCGGGCGATCAGCTTAGAATAGTATTGTGAGATATAGGGCAAGATGCCTAAACCGTCATGGAGCATATCAAGCCAGATTCATAAGCCCTATACAAGATGGCTGAATCTCTATAAGCTTTATGCTATACCGGTCAAGGACATCGTACAATCAAGACGTATACAACAGTATACGATCTACATCATCACTACGGTCAATGACATGATACAATCATGTAAGACGTATACAACAGTGTACGATCTACATCATCACTACAGTCAATGACATCGTACAATCAAGCAACCACCGATTAAACAGCTACTGCATGAGATCACTATGCATCATCTAGAACGATCACATGCAAGAGACAAGTTGATTATAAATATGCCCTGCCTTCTCTACCAAAAAAAAAAAAAAAAAAAAAAAAATCTAAGACATACAAGCAAGATTCAATATAATCAACCAAGCTTCAGTCCTACCTCACTCTTCTCTCATCTTATCTTTATGATTCTAAGCCGAATTGATTTTATCCTTCCTATTCAATCAAAGGAAGAAGATCAATTAATCTTCCTTCCTCTCTACCTAACCTGCGCAGCATCGCTTGCTCATAAGTATAAATTCCTTAGCTTCTAGGCGCCGGTAACGCGTAAACGGCGGTATAGCTAGCTTAGAGGTAGTAGTAAAGGGGACCGGCAGCAGAAACGAGACCATAAGTACATTACTATCGACTTTAGCAACGATAAGTAGTTATTTTATACGTCTACTATCTCGAGAAATAGGATCTAAAATCGGACTAGGTAGACCATTAATAATAAAGGGCATAATGTTTAGTAGCCGTTAGAAAACAATACCGTCCGGGCCACTAGGCTAGATTCCGTATACGAAATATTTATCTAGAGTCAACATAAGTGAAACCCCCGAACTCACTATTACCGAGCAGTATTTAGTTTGCAACAATAAGTACAGAGTCGCTATTTGTCGTCAATATACGCATAGCGTGAAGCCCCAAAGATATACATCGCCTTAGTAAAGTAGACGCACACGAAATCTCGCTCTCCGGTAGAAGCCGAGCTTTGGTATAGATACTACACGTTTCTTTTCTATAATCCCAAAGTGCGATAGTAGCAGATTTAGCACCCAGACCAAACGAGTCAGATTTGTCAACGGGGAAAGGAAGATAGACAGCCCAATAGCGTGGTACTCCGCTACCCACTCAGATATGAACCACCTAGTAGAAGGCGAGCCGCTGCCATCACGATGGCAGTGGAAGGATCAGAGGAGATGGAGTTAGGAGGCCAGAGAACAAATGAAGTATGCTCCGCTAAAGCTATTCACAGACCTTACTACGTTTGAAACCGGCCCCTTTCATAAATTACCATTTATTAAAGGGGCCGGTTAGGGAGTAAGACCGGGATCATATTCTTGTTTCCATCTGTCATAAATAGACGCCGATTTCTACCAAAATGCCACACACTGAGCGCTGAGTACGCATTGATCGCGTTGATCATGAGGGGAAGCAATAGGATAATGGGATGATCTCCCAGCTATCGGAAACGTACCGATTCAATGGCGGTTCCTTTCATTTTAAATAATGAGCTTGAAGGTCGCCATTGTGTGGTATCCTGTCAGCGCCCCTTTCTCACTTTGTAGGTCAATAACCTCCGCTGGGCCGCTGGTTTGAAGAGGTCATCCAGTCTACGAAAAGGCATTTCCAGCGAGAAGTACATGCCCAGAACAGACGACCTGGCCTCGGCCCGTTCAGGAAGTATAGAAATTATCCATCCCGGGTGGCAGCTGCTGTGGCTCCTCAAGCTTTTGGCAGGGAATAGTGATGGGATGAGACCTCGGGGACACCATCTTTAAAACGATTCCAGGAGAGAGAAGTCCATAGAAACATTCCATTGGGCCACATCACAAAACTCCTGGCGAATTGTACGAGCAGTATCTTCGTCAAAGGAATTTTCCGATGCATACTCGTGAACTATATCCTAGAGGAGAGGAGCAAGGTCATCCCGGTTTCACCCCGGGGGGGGGGGCGGGGGCAAGCATTCGCTGAGCATTGTTCGAGGGAGCGCAATGGGCAGAAAGTGACAGAAAGCCAGAGGGGAAGAATAAAGCGGCAAAGGTAGGGTCTAAAGACACTGTTCTAGGGGCACAACGTCAGTGAGCGGTATAACGCAACGGTTACTTGGGAGGTGACTCATGTGCGTGTTCAATGTGTGCTACGATAACAGCAGAATAAACGGGGACAGATACATTGCATGTGAGACATCGTCGACGAGAGGTACAAGATCGATGATTGATGAAAGCATGATGGTCAATGGGCAAGAGCTGCCTGGCAGTTGGTGATTAAATAAGACATATCGTCTATCATTTCTGTATAACTAACCAGGGGAGGGTGACCCGTCAGTCGAAACAAGTTTAATTTTCCTTGATATCACCCGTCAATATGAGATCGCGAGGAACAGCCAGCCCTTTGGAACTACCTTCCCCCGTCGGCTTGTCAGCTTTGAAGATTTGCTCGCCCGGAAATAGGAGATTGGTGGTGAGGAAGTAGTCGAGGGGATCCATAGTCAGATTAATACGGGGGCCTGGCACACTCAGGTTCCTGAAATGCGGGGGGACCTCGCTTGAGTGTGGCCAGAACTTTGCCCACCACCTTCGGGACGTATCCTTAGATGTGATGTTCCATTTCTCATCCTGTGTCCAGTCAAAGCCCAAGAGGTTAGGACTCTTGTCTGTGCTAACGTCCTTCCACTTTCCCTTCCCATTTCAGGTGAACACAAGTTCCACCGTACCACTGTCGCCGCTGTCAACGCCTGATACGGTCTGTCCCCATTCCCAGTTCGCGGATTGACCGTTGCTCGTATATTTGATCCTGTTATCGTCGACTTTCTGGTTGCTGGAGATGCCACCGCTGATGGTGATATTAGTCAAAGGGTCGCTAGGCTCGAATTCAATAGCGTCCATTTTGGTGTACCACCACCAACCAGTGCCGCTTTCCGAATCGTCCACCTTCTCAACCGAAACAGTGTCGGCCTTCAACTTCCCGGTAAATTTGAGTCCACCTACAATATTCCTCCGAGTCAACACAAAATGGTATCCATCGGGGACGCTATTTGTGTTACATACCTTCGCCTGCAACGGTAGTCTCCTTTATATCATCGAAGCCTTTACTTAGGTTGGGCTGTGGGTTGAAGGTTTAGTGAATGAGAATATAATGAAGCGGGCTGGAAAGGGATGGATGACGGAATTGCTCACCAAGAAGAAATGATTCAGCAAAACATAGTTGCTCACGATCAGACCAGCTGTACTGCCCTTGGGAATAGAGATGAGATCGCTAGAGCCAGGGTGAAAGGTCACCTGCGTGGTCCCAGTGGGCTTTCTTCCGCCATCTTTCCCGCCCTGGACGGCAATCCACATACACAGGGCGGATTTGACCTCACTCTCATTGTTGCCCATTACCGTCGTAAAGCAAAACGACACCGGTCGGAGAACATGATCGGCAGCCTGAGACTTGTAATCATTCGACACCCCTGCGAGGTAATAGTCGATGGCCGCAGCCTCGGCAAAGTAATCCTCGATAGCACTCTTGATGATTGTGTTCAGTCTCTTCGCGGTTGTCTGTGATACTTCATCCTTCCCCTTGAGAGTGACGGTCGCCTTGCGGAGATCAATATACACCCCCCTGGCTGCACCTTTATCATCCGGATTAATGATAACCGTGTAGTTCGGTCCCTGAATATCCTTGTCCTCAATTTTTGGAGCGGAATGTGCCTTGAATTCCGAACTGTCCTCGGCGCTTGGTGGATCATCTTCCAAAGCGATCACTACAGCGAGTTAAGGTTGGGGAGCCCGCAGAAATCAGCCAAAGATTGATTCACGGAGTATCTTACGGATTTTGTATTTAAGCTTCCTTAAATCTATGTATAAATTGTAGCTAATCTCTATAGACAAATACGATAGCGAACGGGTTCAGATTGAATATCCAATCATTTCATGTTGGACTTACCATTCAATACATATCTTTGGCCCATATGTGTACTAGATTTTCGAGAAAGATAAAACGCTAACTGTTGTGAGACAACAATGAATTCTCGCAAACAAAATTTGATGTGTATATTATTCACTGCACTATACCTGAGAAATAGCGTCATTTCCCTTCTCTAGTGTCGACGTCGCTCATAGAACCAGTACATGCTGCCGTCCATAGTGTAGTTAATGTGGGAGGTCCAAGGCGAGTGCCGGAAGTATGGTCCAAACTTCGTTATACGAGGTGTACATTTCGTTCATGCCTCATCCTTCGCACCTTGAACAACATGATCAGTCTCTAAAGATTTATCCATAGTCCGACTTGCAACAAACGGCGTCGCTAGGAGACCAAGAGCCCCAATGCCCGTCATAACCTCAAAAATGGAGTCCAACCCATATACATATGCATTCATCACACCTTCGCGTAAAGCAGACCCAGCGGGCAACGTTTTAAGGGTGCTAACATAACCCTCCGCATTGTGGGCGATAGCAGTCGGAAGTCCCAAATCACCCAGTCTCGTCGCCATAAAATTCTGCAGTACTGTTCCACCAATGATGACACCGATGGCGAAGCCCAGCGTCCGGCAGAATGTGTATAGTGAAGCGGCATATGCCACGTCTTTGGCTGGCGAGGAAGCCTGCGCTGCAAACAGAAGCGCATTGTAAAGGACGCCGTGGCCGAAGCCCACAAAAGCAAACATGAAGATCCAGCCTGCTGTACTAGTGTGCTCTCGCAGAAGGATGGTAACACCAGTAGCTGCAATGGTAGCGATCCAGCCACACCAGAGGGCCCAGCGGTACCGTCCGGTTTTGGAGATGACGAAGGCCACGACTATGCTGGTGGGCAGAAGAACAATGGAGACGGGCAACACGCCGACACCGTTCATAACGGCGGACAAAAGTTTGACGGCTTGCAGATACAGAGAGATATAATAAAGCTCACCGTACATCTAATGAGACAAGTCAGCAATGGTTTTATTTTCATGTCATTGAATTCCACAGGGGATAGGCGGGGAGATCGCACAATAATGCCTTGGACAATAGACGCAGCATATACAGCCAGCGAGGATTGATCTGTAAGTATAGACAGACGTAGGAATGAGTGACTAGCCCCAAAGAACTCCCAAAACCCCGTCGCGACGATACCACCCACACCGAGGCAGAGTGGAACCAAAGTCTGATAACTTCCCCAGGAGTACTGTACCCCACCCCACGAGAGCCCAATCAAAAAGGCGGACATGCTCGTAATAAATAAGACCTGGCCGATCCAATCAACAGAGCGAAGCTTCCTTCCGCCATTTTTGAACCTGATCGATACAAAAAGCATTAACCCTGCCAGAGCCGATAGAGGGAAATTAATATAAAATACCCAGCGCCATCCCGTTGAGGAGCTCGTATGGTCCACAAAGCAACCCCCCGATCAGGGGGCCAATAATAGTTCCCAGTGCCATAGACCCTTGAATAATAGCACCAAACTTTGGCCGTTGACGCAGGGGAATGATATCAGTATTGATGATCATGGCAAGCGGAATGAGCCCACCTCCTCCTATACCCTGGATCACACGACCGGCCAGGAGGGTAGCCATATTGTGAGCGACACATCCCACAATAGATCCAATCACAAAGAGGCCCATAGAGGCAACGAGTACCTTTCTTCTCCCAAAAATATCGGATAGTGAAGCCATGATAGGCTGGAAACCTGCGCATGGAACTAAGTATGCGCTACCTATCCAGAAAGTACTGGTGGCGTCGCCGTTCAGCTCCTCAGCTATAGTCTATTTTCAGTGTTAGATTGCTCGGGACCGAAAGATTGAGATAGGTGTCAATAAAAGCACTAACTGGAAGGATAGGTAGGAAGATAGTCATGTCCAATGAGGCCATCAAACTTATTATTGAGAGGCAAAAGAGTACTTGAAACACCTCCCTGCTTGGCTTCCATTCTGGTTCGGGGACATCAGGCGTACGCGCCTCCTCTGCTTCAGTTTCCTTGAACCTTTTATCAATTTGCGCTTGAGTGTTCTCAGTCATAGTGCCAAATGCGTAGAAAGTGCGCGCGGGACGAGAGGAACAGTAAATACGACGAAATGGTTCCGGATGATTGTGCTAGGAATCGCGCAGGAAAGAAGATGGCCGCGACATGGAAAGATAACCCAAAACCCGTACTTTGGGCCAGTAAAGAGGTATTGCCTTCACTTGCACTTCCTCATATATATTCATCATTTCTTTGTCCATCATCGTTCTGCTGATCTTAGTTGAAAAAGGAACGGGGCGAAGAGACAAAAAAACAGGAAATGGGAAAAAAAGGAAAAAAAGGGAAAAAAACTATCAGTAACCCCTAGTAAAATATTACATATATTTCACCGGCTATGTATTATATTTTGACAGGGGTCCCTTGCATGTGCCACTCGATTCGCCAGGGCTGTGGATTATACGCAGCACGCTGATCATTGCCCAGACCAAGCAGCTACATACATGCATAAAACGAAAAGGATTGATAAATACTACTAGTATATGGGAACCGAGGAGCGCAAAATTTCTGATTTGGGTGTGTGGCTGAACTTCCCGTCTCCACGAGCTACTTAGTCGGCAAGGCTTGTCTCCACTCTAAGAGGCACAAATCCTCTTACTCCTTATAGTCCCGTCTCTGACAACTTTGAATTGAAAACGCGGGACTTCCATTTAGCAAAGAATCAATTGGGTCCTACGCAAAGCTGTTGCTCTTGCAGAAGTGGACTTGCATATCTCCGTCTCCTCATGCTCAGCCAGCCACTCGTCCAATGCTGCTGGGTCACAGCTTGTCCCGCACGAGAAATTGCTTCTTTAGATCCTACAAGTCCTACTCGCGGGCTGGCAACAATGCCTGAGACGAGGATCCTAGATTGGAATGGGCGGGCTCGCTTGAGGGATTTCTTACTTGGAGCGCGCCAATCTGGAATCGTTTCGTGACAGGGAGCAGGGGACCTGCAGGCCGAATTGTGCTTGATTTCGTTCCCAAGACGGCTATCGATAATGAGACAATTGTTCAGGGGCTGCAAGGAGAAGTTTTACCCGGTGGAGGGTGATGGTGAAGGGGCTGAGAATCTAGGGCTATGGATTCATAGTTTTGATTATCCGGAGGATGGGGCGTGGACTTTGGAGCAGGTAAGATGCTTCCTTTGTCTTCATGTGGCGTGTTGAGCTGAGAATTCGATGAGTTGGTAGCTCGCTTTTGTTTTGCGCTTCAAGGTTTTGGGCTTTGAGATGATCGGCGGGGAAAGACATCATACGAGACGATTTGTGGTTGCCAACAAGGATGCTGTAATTGAGATGGGTCGTATTGCTTTCTCGTACGTAAGGTCCTCTCGGGGCTCGGCTGAGTGACAGCTTCACTAGCTCGAGGCCATGTACTGCATAGGATGTGCCTATGATATATACTATTATTCTGCTACTCTGCATATTGATTACATTTTTTACCGTATTGGGGTACAGCACTACATATACTAAGCACCTCCAGGAAGGCTCATGTATGTAGAGAAAAGAAAAAAGATTTGGAGGGATCGCTGTGGCAGGTCGATCACCGAGTTCTCGGGATCAGCCCGATTTTCAATGCATGAACGCATATCAGTGCAGATGCCACAATGCGCGCTCAATAACGATGCACACAAAAAGGCAACACCGGAAAGTTTGAGATATTTATGCAGCGCAGAATCAGCAAATCGAGGCAGAACGCATCTGAGCCTTCGACTCCATGTCCTGTCCCCCCCATGCAGCTGCGTGGGCTTGACCGACTATTGTCAAACTACCCTAACCATACAGCTCGACGGCAAACCAATACCTTTGAATGGTCGGCAATAATTGATTATGCTGGAGTGGATCGATCAACATCTGTCGGCTCTCAGATGCGGACTTTCCAATCCCCAATTTTCTTTATCTGTCCCGTCTTCGAAGTCCACAGTAGCTGTAATATACGTATATATTGTTTATTAAGTCGGCTTTGATTTTGGGAAATGACTGGCAGCCTCTTTACTCCGTACTGCTATACGCTTTGCGTTAGGTGCATCCTCGAACGCAAGCTTTGAATGGATGCCCCCTGAGTTAATGTGAGAAAGTGATTTATTAGCCGAGGTCGGGGTCCATGTATTTTTTTTTTTTTGATTTACTCATCCATCAAGAACCAACTTCACTTTGCTCGTTCATTACCAAGAAACGGACTACCACCAACTCTACAATGCAAACAGAAAAGGAGCGCCCCTTCAAAGTCCTCATAGCCGGCGGCTCAATCGCGGGCCTGACACTCGCCAACGCCCTTGCCCGCGCAAATATCGATTTTCTCGTTCTTGAAAGCCATGGTCGGATTGATCCGTCAGTCGGCGCTGCGTTGACAGTTCCCACCAATGCATGCCGAATCCTCGATCAAATGGGTATTTATGATGATATTCAAGCACATATTCAGCCGACCGCGGATATATATACATATGTGGAGGATGGCCGATTGTTGGCGAGAATGGATATGCCACGCGTTATCTGGGAGCGGTATGCATGTTTATTTTTACTATGTTCGGGTTTGGACATAAAGAGGCTGATGGCAGAGTAGGCATTCTTACCCTATCGCTTGGCTGACAAGGGAACAATTGTTGAGAATTTTGTATGACAATGTTCCGGACAAGAGCAAGGTGCTCTTGAATAAGAAAATTACGAGGGTTGATCATTCAGATGATGGCGTAGTTGCACACTGCGAGGATGGGAGTGAACACAACGGTAGTATAATTGCTGGTGCGGATGGAATTCATAGTACAATTCGGGGTGAGATGTGGAAGCATATGGAGGAGAGCAGGAAATGGAAGAAGAAGGTGAAGAAAGATAGGAAAGGTATGTTTTTTCTTTTATAGGTATACACATCGTTGGAGAATTATGCAGACCTAATGTGATTGATAGCTATGACGGCTGAATACGCATGCATCTTTGGAATATCCCGTCCGATGGAAGGCCTCAAGCCGGGAATTATTTATCGGACCTGGGGCAAGAGCTTCACTACCTTTGCGAACGTCGGGGAAGGTAACCAGGTATTTTGGGTTCTCTTCACCAAGATGGACCGGAAGTTCCAATATCCCGGTGTACCAAGGTTCACGAGAAAGGAACAAGACGGGCTGGCTGAGAAATTTATGGATCAACATGTTGGTGCTGGTATTAAGTTTGGGTCGGTTTATGAGAATGCGACCACTTCTACATTTATTCCCTTGGAGGAAGGAACATGCAAGTCGTGGACGTGGGGTAGATTTGCATGTTTGGGTGACTCGGTTCACAAGGTCTGTCCATCTCTTTTGCCCTCCAATATAGCATCGTGCGCTAAACATGATAGACAACGCCCAACATCGGTCAAGGTGCCAGTCTAGCTATTGACGATGCCGCATCTCTCGCGAACCATATTGTGTCAATCGTGAACAGCTCTGGTGGCATACCGTCATCGGGTGATATCACTACGGCCCTCACAAAATGGGAAGCGGGTCTACGACCAAGAGCAAAGGCAATCTGCGATGCAGGAGCTACCTATATGAGGTTAGAGGCGCTGGCGAACTGGCCGCTCAAGATAGCTGGGCTGTACATTGCGCCCCACATCGGGCGTGTTTTTGCGGATCTTCTCAGTGTTGTTGATACTGGGGCACCAACATTGCATTTTCTGGCGTTGCCAGAGAGGAAGGGTGATTCTGTGTCGACTGAGAAAGGAGCAAATGGACGGAAGTGGAAGGTGAGCTGGTATATTCGAGCATTCTGGGCTGTGAACTTGAGACTGAAATGAGACTTTGCTTAAGTGGGAGATTTTGGTAAGGGGCGTTATTTCCACCTCAACAACAAATGGAATCGCTGCACTGTAGATTTACAAAGTAAAACAATCATCAATCATCTAGAGACGTCCGACGCCACTAGAATGGATTTCCTAGTTCCATAGAAGGAAGTTTTGTGACAGAAAGGACCAGTATATGATTCTATGTTCTGTGTGCCTCCAGCCCCAATTGCTTTCTCTAGATACAGGTCCCCTGATGGTTGACATTGCGAAGACTGTCGAGGCCTATGGGGCTCTTAGCCAGACTTGACACCAGCGTAATAGCGCAAGCTAACTACAGGCCAACTCACAATCTTTGTCCCACTATGAAAGGTCCATTTGCTTAGATCCAGCCCTGGCTGATCCAAAAGATCACTAATCTCCTGACTTGTGCGTGTCCTGAGACAAGATATAAGGCCATCAATCCAGAGCGTCAACGGAGACAGGGGCAAGATGTAGGTAAAGAGGAGATGGACGGGCGAGTGCCAAAACCAACATAGGGTTACGACGAAAGTAAAGAAGAACATGAGTATGGTGGAAAGACAGGTGGCAACATCACGAGACGTTGCTTCAAATATGCTAAACGTGTATTAGATCCTGTCTTTGATTGTTTTTCCTGCGCCATAGGAAAGCTTAGGCCACTTACATAAACGAATCAGCCGACTCTACTGCGCTCTTCAAAATGCCCGCGGCGTCTTCATCACTAAAGTGATGGAAACATATATTGAAAATACGGCATTCCTTCTTGTTTCCAAGTCGAGGAACGGCTCGGGCGTCGACTGGAGTTACAATATATGATATATTTTTCTGTTTCTTGCAAAGTTGCTGCCACGCTTCGATGTGTGGATTAATATCGGTTAAAATGAACTGGACGGGCTTTTCGCCTTGGGCTTCAAGTTCCCTGTTAAGTTCAAATTCGAGGACCGGGGTAGGACCTCCCGACCCAGCACAGATGTCGAGAACAGTGTAGGATGAAAGATCCTGCATGTGCTCCTTGAAAACCTCACATGCTTTTGTTGCGAGACTCTCGCGGCCCCAAGGCGGAAACTTGAGAGTCCAGAGTTTGGTCAAGGTAAATTGCTCGTGCTGGTGAAGCCAGGAGGGACACCAGGATAAGTCTCCAATCTCGAAAAGCTGTGATCGCGGCCAGGACATCTTGTGTATGTTAAGATGGCCTTTAATGATCACATTCCGGACATAGGGTTAGCGTTATATAACCAGCGGCTGCACTAGTCCGGATTGGGTGGCCATTTAACACACAGAACATAGGCTAACGGTCAGTCAATGAGTCCCCGAGAGGCAGAGGTGGAAGCATGTGTGAAATATTTTGATTGCTATACTCCGCACCATAACGAAAATTCGTTCACCGTCTTTTGCGCCTACATTAGGACTATATGCCCCACATCCTGTACATACATTGCAAGCCCATTGCAAATCAGTGTACTTGAAACAAAAGCAAAAGAACCAAAACCCAGTCTACCGGTACAATCTATGATTTTTTTTCTGCATCGCAGGCGAACTGTTCGCCCCACTCTACAGTAGCTATTCGGAAGGCAGGGTCCGAGATCTGTCTGGATCGGATCTGACTGATTGCTGGGACCATGGAGAGTGCTGATATGGAGACTAGCTCCAGCCTATACGGGACTTTGTTGATATACTACTTTGTGTTTATTATATCATGCAGTCGATTTTTCGAGGGGCCTGCCAGTCACTAATATCACAAGGGAATAATGGCAGACTAGAAAAGGAAACACGGTCAGTAGGGTACAGAAAGCCCCTGACAGTGGGGCGAGGCGATAGGTCAGATTCTGTGAGATTTGCGATTTGCGGCGATGACTGGCGGCGTCGACTGCCAATTACAAGGGTCATATTGCGGTTCGTGCTGTTTGACGTCGAGTGCAACCCACTTAAAAGCCTAGTAAATCCTGCTAGATACTCGGTGACCATTAGTTGACTAATTTGACTTGCACTAAAATGCCCTATAAAGGTTCGTAGTTTGTGGGCGAATAGATGGGTCTGCCAATCCGATGCGGAGAAATAGCGATAGTAAACAATGGAATTTATGATTACTGACAGGAAAGGAGGACTACATACATATTCAGGGCGTGCACTTCCGGTCTTTTCCTGCAGCTGAGCTGCAATAGAAATCTTGCATAATATTAGGTTCAATAAACCTAGCATTTCAAGTGGAAAAGATAGCCGTGTATCCCAAGAGTGTACGGAGGAGAAGTGCACGTTACATTACTATGTACTTGACCCGTTTAAGGTTCTTGCTTAGTTGGAGGTTGGATGTTGACCAAGTATTTTGACAGGAGCCAAACAGGAGATGTGGCTGGCTGACTTGTGGAATACGTTAGCGGATCTACCTGCACGTCCAGCTCCAATTCGAAGTAGGATCTGGTTTTCGGAGCAGTTCCTGTTTGCTGATTCGCAATCGACCGGAGTAATGCGTCGGATGGGAGTGCTATATTTCGATCTATCTTGCTGAACGAAATTTCAGGCGGCGAAGTCAGTGCTTAGACTTAGAGACTCGATTTACTGAGGTTAACTTCCAAGAAAACGGCCAAGATCCTGGAGAACTATGCCCAATAACGCGGAATGAACCCACTCCCTGGCCGATGCAGTGCCCGAGAACGGATTCGGGCCTCAATCACTGCCCGCCCTAGGTCCACTTTGCAAAGTTGCCATGTGTATTTTCTCGGCCGCCTTGCCTCCATAACAGATTACGTTTACAGTTTTTTTTCTAATTACACGCCTTGTTAACTAATTATTACCGATAAATTCTGTGCGCGAGTATGCATTTGCCATGTCTCCTATATGGCTACCTTTAGTGGCTGAGTAGCATAGCTGAAGGACTTCTAATACTGGGTGTGTTGGAGTTTGGACGCCCAATTTGCCGCAGTCGCCGTTGGCAGAATTTTGCCTGGAATGGGCGAAATATGTCTACTCTTTTTCCAGCAGATTCTTTGATCTTGTGCACCATTGCACCATGCTACCTGGCCATGCATGCAGTGTTGTCAAGATGATCTTCGGGAAGCATCTGTGGTGCAGAGTGATGGCTGCAAGAAGTTATTCTTTAAGGCCGCACTGCCTGTGAGCTCTCGGTCAATGTCAGTTGTCCATTTCCTGTAGGTAGGGTGTAATTCTGTCCCGAGCCTGAGCAGACTCGGGATGGGCTATGTAAGCGAAGCAAGGACAGAGGTGTATGATTGCAGATACGCCACGATTTCAATCAAGATTGATTCGATCTACACGGCAGATGACCATCCATTGACGGGCGTACACTCTTCACTCGACATCCCGACCACGGACCGAGGGGTTCGCCCTGCGGTGGAGTCCCTTGGGAGATCGTCGCCCGGACCAGCATTTCGATTTTGACGGCCCACTTGATCTGCAACGCCATCGAAAATCTCTGACACCAACAGAAAATCAGAAATAAGAAATTCAGACCACCAAACCTAAACGTCAAAAAGATGATTACGGTGAGGGAACCTGAGGGAATCGACGGATCAGTGGAACCACTCCAAAAAGGGATGTGATCGCCCAGATCTCCGTAGATCTAGCAACATGATTCGCCTTCTAGGCAGATATTCAGCAATTCCCTAGCCTGGCCGCTAATGCATTTCAACGTGCTACTTCAGCCGCAAGCAAACCAGACGCACCTGGATATTAACTAAATTCTATGTGTAATTTAGACACTTTTCACCAAAATCAGCTAATTCTGGCCTCATGAAAGCCACCACAACATGGCCTTGTGCCGTGTTTACATAGATAAACTTCCCTTTCCTTTGGAGAGTGATTAATCATCCGAATTGGCAATTTGGGAAAGCGTAGCGCAGATCTGCACCCAGAGCTGTATAAGACGTAGGCGAATTGCGTTCCTGTAAGTCCTTGTTGATGAGAGTTAAAAGTCTTAGGGCACAGTCTGTTTTTCATTCCAAGGACTTCTTTTTCCACCATGGCGTTGTGCAGCACCTTCAAGTCATGGGGATCCTACTTGAAGCGTGTTACGCAGCGCAAGGAGAAGCTTCATCATTTGACTGGAAACGAGACTCCTGCAATTCCTGCTGTTTCTGTTGTTAGTACAGGAACTCAATATCCTTCCAACAGGATGGGTCCAGAGGGCCTCGCGGAAATAGCCTTCAGACACTACGCCGATAGTCCTGCGTAAGTCTAACCCAACTATACTCTCCTTCATCATTATCTGTACTGATCTTATATATGCAACGCTCCAGTCTCCAAAAGACATTGGAGATCAACGCGAAGTCCAGGATAGAAGAGCGTTACAGCGCTATACCGCGTAGTCACCCACTGTGGCACCAACTCAATACACCGAGTATCGCAGAGTGTGATGAGCTTTTTAAGAAATACGGCATTCCCCTCGCTGAAGAGGCTGCTAAGAAGGCCTTGGCAGAATGGGGCGGCTCACCAGTTGATATAACTCATATTGTTACAGTCACTTGTACAAACACGTCTAACCCAGGGTTCGATTGTTTCCTGTCCCAAAGACTGGGGTTTGGAAAATCTGTGCGGCGCACTCTCCTCCATGGGGTTGGATGTGCTGGTGGTGTTGCAGCACTTCGAACAGCAAATGAGCTCCTTCTCGGCGCTGCACATCAGGGCAAGCCAGCCAGGTGTCTTGTGGTTTCGTGCGAAATCCCATCTGTTTTTATCCGAAGAGAGTTAGAAGATCTCATCAAAGAACAAAGGCCTAACGTTGGGCTCACGCTTTTTGGGGACTGTGCTAGTGCGATGGTGCTTAGCAATGGTATTGGCATCAAGGAATCTGAAAGACCTCCCCTATGGAACATTCTCAATTCTCAGACTACTCAGATTGAGAATTCAGGTGGCTGTCTTGAGTACAATGTTGGCCCATCAGGTGAGTGGCAGAGAGACATCACGGCCGACTAGAAGACTCTTGCTACAGCGACAGAGTTGTTTAACAAGTAAACAGGCTATCTTGCAGTTATATCGAAGGATGTTCCTAAGCACGTCAAATCAAGTTTGCCGTCAGGCTTTCAGGAACTCATTACGTCTACTAAATCCCTCCGCGAGAACCCTTCAAACTTTGACCCCACTACCTATGACTGGGCGCTACACCCTGGTGGTTATGGCATTCTCACTCTCGGTCAGCAGGCTCTGGGATTATCAACGCACCATTTGCGGAAGAGCTATGAGGTCTACACGAAAAGAGGCAATACCAGTTCCTCCACAGTGCTTAGCATTATGGATAAGCTGGCGCACGAAGATGAAAAAGGTGGATCCGGAAGTGACAAACTCATCACCGCAGCCTTTGGACCAGGTATTACTATGGAGATGCTGGTGCTGGCCAAAGCATAACCAATGGATGTGATCATGTCGATGTTCAGCAAGCCTTATTTTGGAGACGTTGTACGTAGACGTCGCCCGAGTGCGCGCGCCCGGGATAGCCTCATTTCTGCCTTATACGTTGAAATTCATGCCAAATTTTGCCGACAAGTTTATCGACTGAGGAATCATATCATTACGTAGGAATTATGTAGGACGCAGTAGAGCAGTCAATAGAGGCAGCTAAAGAAGTACGGCATGCTATAGATCACCGAGGTCTGCAGAATCTATCAAATACAATGCCTCATATCGCTCAGGCAATTATATAGGCGGACTTTGATGTGCTGAATCTCCAGACATGAGTTCTGTGAAACTTATGAATAGATTATAACAGTGCCCTTGGAGCGGCCCCTTGCCCTTGCTAAGTAAAGCCACAAATTGTCGTCGCTATGAATGAATATCGAATAGCGAATATCGTAGAAGGCGGTGTATTCAAATCGGTCTCAGCTATCGAATGTATCGCCGTAACAGGCGAGGATTTCGCTCCATTGAATATCCCGAAAGCGAACGCTTCGTTAAGTCATGGTTTCCCGATGCGCTTTTAGACGGCTATGAACTCCTGATATCGCCAAACCGCCATACCACGGACGATATTACGTGTGAGTAGTCTAAGCACTTTGATTATCATAAAAACCCCTGCATGAAAAGATGTCAAGCATCGCTTACTTTTAATAGATAGTCACAGATAGAAAAGTCTTCGAATTTCTATCCGCATAGGAAGAAAAGCGTACCATCGTATTTCCTGTTCTGCCTCCTGCGACGAATTTCTCGTAGCTACCCGACGAAAAGCCAGTTTAACACGCTCAATAACTAAACAGCCCCTTTCATGGATTACAAATTTATTGTCAGCATATGTGTGTGCATAAACCATTGGTGAGCTAACGAGCGCAGATGCATCAACCTGCATATCAGCTGAATGCCGATCGTCAACAATCGCATCAGCGTGGAAAAAGCATCGAGTTTTCTAACACTCCCATATGCCCCTTCCATTATTTCGATTATCCTTGATCTTTTCTTGTGACATTTTATTTAGCACTTTGAAACCCACTCCTTTCCCAGTAATAATAACTGACAACACAGTGGGTCTTTATACAGCATGGTCCGCTGATCATTCCAGATATCGTAATGTCCTATTTCCATCTCTGGGATGACCCATGCCACGGGGCCTGTGCTCCCGGAAAAGTGTACTTAAACAGATTAAGCCCTGTAGAAGACTTGGCAACGGATAGGCCCTGATGTTTGATCCTGCCGTGTTCCTCCCACGTTAAATGGCTCATATAGCATAGATACCTCAACCATACGAATGTTTTTGTTTCCTTTTCCTTACTCCCTTCAATTGTACAATAATAATATGAGGTCAATTGTCGAGGCCATTACCCCCCATTCGCCCCAATCGCTCGGTCTTCTGCTCCATCTGGTGATCGAGACACCCGCAACAATCGGCTTCCTCTTCTTTCCATCTGCCACCCTTCCCGCGCCTCAACTACAAGTACAAGCCATCATTCGCCAATATGGACTGCTACTTGGCTGTACTAATGTGGTCATTGCTGTTCTGCTGAGCATGAAATCATCCATCCCAAATGTCGCATATATCTCGCTTGAACATCATATCGGAAGAGCTCTCGCACTGTACCATATCGGACCGCTGTGCAGAGCAGCCTCCCGCATTCACCAAGGTGGGAATTTCCAGCATTCCTTTGCCAACCCGTGGTTACATCTCGTTGCACATGCTCTTTGTCTTGGAGCTTTGGTTTTACCATAGGCTGTATCAAGATGATGATTTGTTTTGGTAATATGTGTGAAGGGCTAAAGCAAAACTTGATTCAATATAGCTAGACCTCGAACTGTTTACCAAATGCTTGAAAAAAAGATAGACAACTGTATTGTACGATATAGGTACCTAGTAAACTGGGGGATGCGCTGATGGCAGTCTGGGCGAAGCCATGAGGGAGAAGCCGACCTGACATTGCAGCACCACCACATAATTTGAGGCTAAATTTTTGTAGTCTAGAACAATTACTACTAGGTATTCTGGTACCAGAATTATAGTTACTTGTGCGGTTCATGTAGTAAAATGCGTTGAAGTTGGGCTTTCTTGGCCGAGATGGGTGAAATGGATTACTTAATCACGGAGTCCCATTTTTGTCCTCAAAACTAAGCCCGTTTCGATTTAAATACTCAAAACTAAACCCTTTTGGATGATGGCTATCATATTAAGCCTATTTGGGACACACGTCTCCTTAATGTGATAGATCTGAAGATAAAGCTGACAGGCATCCTTATAGCCCCCTATACTCTAGTACATGAACAGATCAGCCCTCATTCGAATTACTCGTCCCCTGATTGGCTGGCCTGCCTGCCTCGTGCGTGCTCCCGTCCCCCTGAGGTACGTGTCTGGCACATCCATAGTCAGGGCGACATCCGCTAGTTACTTTATATCATAATTGCTTCTTTTCATGGCCCGTGTAGGAATAGTGGCGGCGCTCTTGAGCACGACGCGTCCGTGACCGTGACTGTGACCGTGTCTGTGGTCGCGTTCGTGTCCTTTCGCTTCTCATGTTTCTCTGTTGCGGCCCCAGATAAATTCACTGATTCACCTTCCTAACTACTCTGTCCGCGCGAGGCTCAGACGGTCCAGTATCTTGAGATGGATCTCTTTACATACAACGCAACGTACCAAATCTGGATCTGCACCGACTGTCGTTACGCCGTTTCTTCCCGTCAATTCGACACTCATCTCTGCAGCCATCACCGACGCTATCCACGCGCCAGCACCGCGGAACTTCGTCAGGCTGCACTGGCCGAGATGTTAAAACGGCCCTGGCTGGATCCGACGCGTGAGCCGTGCAAATTCCCTCCACCCGGCTCCGCACCTATCCCCGGTCTTCCTGTCTATCCTGGCTTACGCTGCCCGCTCTGCTTATATGTGTCGCGAGCGTTAGCGACAATACGTAGCTATCTAGCAAACATACATCCGGAGACCCGACGACCGCGTGGCCGGGCTTGTAAAGCTAAGCCTGATATAGCTGCCGTTGCAGAACAAGTGAGCTGTCAGCGATTCTTTGTATCCGGTCCAGGGAGCGGCTTCTTCAGTGTAATCGCACCGTCCCCGATCAGGCGAGAACGGCTAGCTAGTGCAGTGTCCGAGGCAGAGTTCATTCAGGCCTAGGTTAACCGGGATCTCCAGGAAAGGTTAGCGGACGAGGTAGAACAAGGGCTACAGATCACCGCCCAGAAGCATACTATAGAAGTATCTCTATAGTTAGAGCTCACCTAGTGGCTAAAATACCTTCAAGGTTATAGCTTTTCTGAAGTAGCAAGTTTGGGTATACTTCCTGATTCTTCTCGAGAGCTACTACTTGCCGCGTTCGCGCAGAGTATAGAACGATTGATTAAGCGCGTATATCACACTATCTAGGACCGGCGTATTAACGAGTTTGACTAAATCCGAATTAATAGCTTTGTCTTACGTCCGCGTATTTAGGAACGACCGATTCTAGTAGACCTGAAACTATCTACCTACACCCGGTACTAGCAGGCATAGCAGCGCCTGATCTGTTTTGCCTACCGTAGTAGTCGCCCGGATCAAGAGATTATCTTGCGCTACTAGTTGACGACTACCCAATTTGCCAAGTTAGACTAGATAGAGGATCTTGGTACGTAACTATTAGTAGAGAGATCTCTAGCCGTCCGGGATCAGCTAGATAATACCTATCTCGCACTCTCGATTGCTTTACTCGATCACTGTGAAGGGCTGAAGCCGATTTGATTCAATCTAACTAGGCCACGAACTGTTTACAACAATCTTGGGGAAAGGAAGGAAAAGGGGGCGTTCGTGCATGGCTACGACAATATGCTACCGCATACGGAAGCTAGTGTGGGTTCCATAAGGAGGCAGGCAAAAGTAATATAGAAGGCCATGGTCACATGGCCACTCTCGGGCAACAGCCCGTTACATACCCTCTCCTCCCCCTTCGGGGGCGTATAGACGCATGAAGCTGATGCGGACGGTTTCTTGGCTTGTCGGGTCTTCTATAGGCACCGGGCCATGCGTTCGTTCGTATTCGTCCAGTGCGGAAACGCCTTGTATGGCTTCAAACGGTTCCTATGAGGGCTCTAGGTATCCGGTCCATTTAACCAACGCTTCTATCCGTGAGCGGCGCCCGCGACGGCGTATCCGTATGTCCCGAATCGCTTCGACCTCATACTCCTGTTCGCCGTCTACTACTACCGGTGGCGGCTCGGAATCGTCTACTACCTGTGAGGGTAGCGGGTCGGTTGCTGCTAATCGGACTAGTTCTACGTGGAACACTAGGTAGACGCTTGTAGGGACGTTTAGTCGTACTGTATGTAGCGTGGGGACGTCGAGCACCTCATATTTAGCGTACAACCAATCGAGCTTCTTTGACGGCCGCTATATACGTACGTTGCGGAGGTTCAACCATACCCGGTCGTGCACTTTATAAACCGGTGCTAGCTGGCGATTCTAGTTCGCTTGCTCTTACTAGCGATCTTGCGCAACTGCTATCGCTGACTGCGCCCAATCCGTCGCTTCCTGTAAGCGTTCGACGAAGGCTTGCCCGGCTGCTTCTAGGCGTGTGAGTATCGTCGTGCTATCTGTTGTCTCGTCAAGCGCGATAGGGTCGACGTGATAGCCGTGTGTGAAGAAGAACGGGGATAGGCTAGTTGACGTGGCGTCGCGGTTATTAACTGCTCCCGCTACGATTAGCAGCAAAAGGCTCTAGTCGTCTTGTGCGTAGGCGGTGAAAACTCGTAGGATCCGTTCAATCTCCTAGTTAGCCCTCTCTGTTGATCCGTCCGTCTGCGGGTAGAAGGCTGTCGATAGTCGTCGTTGGATAGAAAGTCGGTCGTATACGATTCGCTAGAACGCACTCACGAACTAGGGCCCCCGGTCGCTCGTGATCGCGAGTAGAAGCCCGTGGTGTATATAGAAATTCGTCAAGAACGTCTTA